CGACTGTTGCCATGGTAGGACATGAACCTAACGTTGGTTTATAACTAAAACCGGACCCCAAGTACAAAGTCACTTCACTTTATTACTAGCTCATCTTTGCTGTTTTTACATTCACGCAAGTTGGCCTTTTAATTACCATCTCGGCATTAAGATGACAAACTTTTATTTCCGATTGCTTTGCGATCGTATTTGCTAGATTAATTGATTTATCGCAGCATTTACAGCTCAGTCAAAGTTCAAAATTGACTTGACTTGTTGATACAGTGTAACAATAACTTAGCCAACATATAAGCATGATCATCTGAACACTGCTATTAAAAACTGGTAGGAGGTAATACATTTGGCGCGAAAGTATTAAAACAACAGTTTTTTGGTTGTTGCCATGGCAACAGTGAGCCAGTATTCTATTTCTTCAGATTTTACCCCCCACTTAGCGTGAAGGTGTTACCTGCCTATAAGTATGAACGGAATCGGCTCAGCCAAAAAATCACAGAATAGTTAAAAGCCGTTCCTTGTGGAAAGTTACCACAATTTTTAGGTCAAATTTCTCACAAATGAAACAAGATATCAAAAAAATAGTAACTTTGTGCCCATACTCGTGCTGAGTAAATTGAGCTATGTTCCATGCTGTTAATCGTGGGTATGTAGGTGGAGATACATTTGTCGCGAAGCTATTCAAAAATCAGTTTTTTTGACTATGCTATGGCAAAGGTGGGCAGAATTCTTTTCAGATATTACCTACTAACTAGAGTGAAAGAGTGACCTGCCTGCCAAGTTTGAGCATATTGGCCCAGCCAAACAAATCGCAGAAAAATTAATACATGAAGATACTGGAAAATATACACAGGCAGACGCACACACGCACAAAGAGATTTTAAGCGCAATCCTAGACTTGCTTGCAGTCTGTTGCGATTTCCATGGAAAATTCTTGAAAAATAAATATAAATTGCGTAAACGTGGGGTGAACGCGAAAGTCGTGTTACCGCGAAATCCCAACAGACTTGCCATCAGTGTAAGAGCCCTCCCATTACCGGCCAGATTCGGGCTTGTAAATAGTCTCTGCTGTTAACCGGTGGCTAAATACAACTATTGTGTTGGAAGAAAGTTCTGGCAACATCGGCAATATAAGTTATACAAACTGTTTTTTTATTTTATTCAGCGATTGACTTGGGCCTTACATGCTTTAGTGATTATTAACAAAGAACGTTCTAAAACAACTTGCTGCAACTAAATTATTCCACTTTTTGTTCCCATAGACAGTTTGAGTCAAAGAGGTCGATACCCTTTTAAAAGTTAATTTATCGATCGACCAATAAGCCTATAGGTCATTCACAATTCTTAACTTGTTACGTTTTGTTAGCAGTTGTATATAAACAACAATAATATTTTTGATTTGATTTTATTACTGACAGTTGTATATTTATTGTATTCCATAAATTCTAGCATCTCTGATGGTAATTCAACGAATGAAACAGGTGAATATTTAGTAGTGAAAATTACAGTAAAAAGCACAGCAGTAGTTGCGCAATGCGGATTCGAAATTTCTGTCAAAACAATGTTTTTAACGAAGTTGTATAAGTCACATGGAAGACACATCATGGTCCCTTGCAGCTACAGTGTATCTCAGATAAGATTCAAATTAAAATTTTAATTAATGCCAACAAGCATGACGAATGATAATAAAGACGGTAGCACTTCAACTAACTGTATAAGAAGCAGCAAACGCGGCAATACGTACATTATGTTGTTACACCCGCGCAGATATGTGTGCAATGTAAGTACAGGCATATTACAAAATATAAATAGGTACACTCACGGCCGCAGCAGAGCGTCTTTCCATAGTTGGCGAACCCGTGTCACAGTACGCCAGAGTCACCGACGTTAACAAATCAGCCCCATACAGCTCCCTCACAGTAACCGGATGAACATATGTAAGCGGACTCCATAACACCACTGACACTGACATACAAATATATCTCGGTAGTCATGGTTAGTTTTACCTTTGCAGTTAAGTTTCCCCCCGGGAACACGAACATGCAGTGGCAAACATCTATGTGGAACTGATATAAGTACAGGCAAATTAAAAAAACAAAAGGATCCACTCGCCTCTCAGACAACAAACAATTTTTCAGTAATTGTACGCCTTAGATATTTTAAATTCGTGAATTCACTGTAACCACCAGGAAAATCCACAAGCTGGAGAGTACTCTTCTAAATATGTTAAAGGGCAGTAGTCGTCTCGCCACGCATGCACGAGATATATGGGTTGCATATAAACAACGATGGCGACTTTGACTGTTGCGCAGATCAACGAGTACAAACTGAGACGTTACGAAACTTTATTTAGGTATTTTTAGGTGGTTGGAAGGTAACCACCATCAGGAAAATCCACAAGCTCTCCTAATACATTATTTTGTATTATAAAAATAAGCATTAAAAAAGACAATAATTGAAAAAAAATGCAATGGCATCTACATATTAAAACTGATATTTTTACACAATACATAAACATGGTTACCAAATAAAAATATTACAATATGTAAACTGCATAATAGTATTCACTTGTACCAACTTTATAACAAAGCTGAATTTGAAATTGACAATACCAATGTTTAATATCACACATTGTCATGTTGATTGCTAATAAATGAATGATTTTTTTTTAAATTAAACATATCATCGGTTTATTCTGATGAAATCAACACATTCCGATATCAAAATGATTGTCATGTTCACATAATGTTTACATTCGCAGAAAATTTCGGTTATACGTAATTACGGTTTCAGTCATTATTTATCCCTATTAAAAGTAGAACAATTTTTAAAATCCACAAAGGTTTTTCTCAATATTAGTGTGCACGTCGCGTGCTCATTGTGCCATTCTACATATCGTTGCCATGGGTACAATGTCGCTTTATATTGTCTGTCTAGTCTTGTAAACACTTCAAGGCACTGTATATCTAAGCCATTCAGTCAATGGTTGACCTTTAGAACTGAGGCTGCGTTTTATGCACGTAATATTAATACAAGGAATAACCTTTAATCGGCCGTAGTGGGTGTGTTCACCAAAAGGCAGACAGGTCCTTGGCGTGGTGTCCGGTTATAAATGAGATTTGTGGTCATATACTGGTGTTTTGTTTCGTAAAACTCGACAAAACTGCTTGTAACTCACTGAAGAGTGGTGAGAATGTGCTGAAGTTCGCCTTGTGTGTGCCGCTACGTCAAGTCTTGGATTATCCCACGAATTCTCAACGAATAACGCATTGCCGATTAGGCGGTTCTAATGTTCATCTATGGGTGGTGGTACCTCCAAAGCTGTCAAGTTTGGTTCCAAATCTGTGAAGTCATTCAAAGACAGGGACACGGGTTATATGACATTGGACCTGAAGGACAATAACCTTGATCAGCTACCTGCTACAGTATGTCGTCTGAAAAAGTTACAAGTGTTAGACACCAGTTTTAATGAGTTGTGTTCACTGCCTGCAGAAATTGTGAAGCTCCGACAACTCCGCGCGTTGTTACTTTACTCCAATAGGTTTGAAGTCGTGCCGCAGTGTGTATGCGAACTGCGCAGACTCACTGACCTAGTTTTGACAAGAAATAGGATTCAGGCGGTTCCCATTGAAATTTGTCAATTGACGAACTTGCGGTATTTATCGCTACACGGCAATCGCATAGAACGATTCCCGGAAGTGATCTGCTGCCGTGAACTGAGCGGACTGGAACGACTTGACCTTGGGGAGAACAAATTAAAAACGGTTTCAAGCTCCATAAGCAGGCTACATCAACTAGAAACTCTGATACTGTCAGACAACCAATTGGAGAATGTACCTGACACGATATGCAAATTAACGAAGTTAGTCTCATTGTGGATAAAGAACAATCAATTGACGTCACTTCCGGATAAAATGGCAACGCGTTTAAATGAGTTAGATGAGTTGGTTATTGACAATAACCCACTTCCACGGGAGTTGTTAAACGCCGCCGTGAGAGGCGTTAATTCAGTACGAAGCTATGAAAATACGGTATAATTACTGTGTGTGGTTTTCTTTTTAACTCGGCTCTGTGGCTGAAGTGACGGGAAAACCATTCAGAGGCGGCTGTATGTTATGTGTGTATATGGAACAAATACGATTAGTTCACAATGTGCTGGAAGCAGAGGTGTAGCTTTTGTTACTCCGTACATGAAACTTGAGATCTATGCATGAATTCTGGCGATAAAAAAAATTATGTGCTGTGAAATGCCCTAAATATTGGGTATAAAACGCGCTGTGAAATAGACGATAACTTCTTTTTGCATGGCGTCATTTCGCCTCTAGTGGGCGTTGGTTAATGGTGTCACTAAGGAACATGATGTCTTAGCCATATCGCTATTACAAATAAGTATCAGTATCCGACTGTGGCTCTCCCTTTGAAAGCACGTTTACGAGAAGGCAACACTTTGGACAACCTGATTAATAGCGAGTGTGATACAGTATTCATTTCGACCAATCTCCCGCTCGCTTCCGTTTTTCGATCGCTTTTTTGTTGTTGAATTCGACCGAATAATTTTAGCTTCGCTTATGTACGCGCACACAATAATAATAGACATTCACTGAAACGGCAGTGATTGACGGTGAATGATATGAGCAGAAATGGACATAGCCTGACGAGTAGCGTGAGATGCGCCCTCCGCGGTGCTCCAATAAAGTATGATGCCGTTCGGCCGGCGAGGGCGCTACTACGTCTACATGTCAGGCTAAAATGAACATAAATAAATAGTTTCCAGGCATGTGATAGTTACTCTGCTATAAAATACTAGTACTGCACGTTATGAGTTTATTTAGTTTTTGCTGAATATTAGACTTCTGTATTGCCAGGGGCAACCAACAATCAAGTATTGAGCTTCACAGAAATACAATACGCGTGGGCAATATTTTTATGTACATGTATTAACAAGATAAGCAAAACAGGAGGATTAGCACAGAGTTCATGGACTCTTAGATCTATTCTATAAATCTCCTTGACTTTTTTTTTAAATAAAGACTAAATGTTATCTTTCGAGTATGTGGTAGCGCCCTCTGCCAATAAAAGGTTTCTCTGGCGGAAAAGTAACATGGGTGGATGACGAATGTTGTTGTCAAACTTCTAAAAATAATATATTATCTAAAATTTCGACATTCAATGTTTAACAAAATGTTCCGTGTCCCAAATTTATGTTGGAACGAATTCGCCCAAATGAACAGGTACAAGATGTGTGATTGATGTGGGTGTTCATATCAAACATAAATAACGATTGACATTGCGTGTTGATTGATTTAAAAATACAACGCATTCAACTTGATTGATTCTCCCTTTATGAACATCTGTGTATAGCCACTGACGAAAGTCGGTCATTCTTAGATCTAACTGTCCCCAAGCATTGTATAAAGACAATTACATAAATGTAATGTAAAGTAATACAATACAATACAATACAATGTAATGCAATGCAATACAATGTAATGTAATACAATACAATACAATGTAATGCAATGCAATACAATGTAATGTAATACAATACAATACAATGTAATACAATACAATACAATACAATGTAATGCAATGCAATACAATGTAATGTAATACAATACAATACAATACAATGTAATGTAATACAATATAATACAATACAATGTAATGTAATACAATGTAATGTAATGTAATGTAATACAATGTAATACAATGCAATTCAATGAAATGAAATGAAATGAACCATGTATTCTCTTTTTTCAGTTATGCAATTCAAAAAATTTTTTGCTCGAGATATTTGGATTACAATTGGTTGGTTTTGACAATAACAATCGCGTGAGGGCGCACTGAGTGACCGGCGTTACGTACACATATGTAAATTGAAGGTGAATTAACACCACGTATATATTAAAACACGTGACATTACTATATCCATATCCAACTG